TTAATAAATCATGGTTCCTAATAAAAATTTCATAATTTAACAAATCGAATAAAAATATTAATGAGAGGTAGTATTATACTGCAAATACTTATGTTTTCTGTGCCGATCCACTGAAAAGTTGATCGTTTCAGGAAAGATTGCAATCCGGAAGAAATAAGTTAAATATGTTCAAATCATCTATAATGAACTAAAATAAATAATCATCGATTTAATATACGACATTCGCTATTTCTGATATTGGATTGTCATTAAACTGTATTTGTAATTAAAAAGCACCTTATTGAAGTTCGTATGTAACATTGCACATAACATATTCTGAATACCTTATGACTTTGAAGCAAATAGGAAAGACATCCGCCATAGTGATATTAGGGTATGATATTATCATGATAATGTTAGGATATGATATTATCGTGATAATATTAGGGTATGATATTATCCTGGTAAATTAGGATATGATATTATCGTGATAATATTAGGATAATATACTTTGTTATAATAACTTAAAAGCTGAGTTCGATAAGGAAAAACAATTTGGTGAACAAAAAAAGCCTGATAAAAAATGATTATTACCAGTTTGAATAGTAATGATTCTCGGTTAGCTCTTGTCTAAAAGTAAAACATATCTCTTTTGCGAAAATATTTAGGAAAGCTTTTCCGAATATAATTGGCTCCAATCGCATCAATGATCTTTGATCTATTCTATCCCTATATACTTAAAATTATATTCTACCTTATATTTATTACCCATTATTTTTTCTTCACTTCTTTATATTTTTTTTCACTACATGTTACGGTAAAAAAAAAAAAAAACCACAAAATGAAACAATAAAGTGTTCCAATATTCGAAAAATAAATCGAAACATTTTTTCTTCCACACTATTGTAATATTCGTTTTAATTTAATAAATCTAATAGGTGTGTATGATAAAATTGAAAGTAATTAAGCGTTTTTCATTATAAAAATTAAAAATAATAACTTTTAGAAATACACGAAACGATGCAATTACATCAAAATTCCTCCACATTTCCAGCATTTTTTTTTTTTGACGTAGCTAAAACCGGTTATCTCAATTTTCAATAGTACAATATGCCGAATTTGTATCTACAAATTTCATTCTTTTCCTTTTAATGAAAGACATCGAATGAAACACACACACACACACACACACACACACACA